ACCTTTCAAACTGCAAAACAATGACTTGATTCGATTGAAGATTTTTTGGAATTGATCGGTTCTGGTCCACCTATCAGAAAAAATATCATATATGTTAACCCAGCCAATAAGCTACCTACGTGCTAAATTGCAAGCAAATCGGACCATTAATAAGACTGTTTCGAATAGTTCGGTCTCTGACCCAAAAAAAATGAATCCTATATGCTAATCTAGGCAAAAGGCTACCAACGAACCAATTGCATTTTTTTAAGCATAGCTCGACTCCTGCGCCAACTATTGTGCACTCCTTCTTCTAAACACGTTTCCAAAAAAGCAGCACCCATTCGAATCAGTTATGAAACATAGGGGAAAATTGTTCACAATTGAATCAAGCTCCCAATGAATTTCACAATTATCCGAAATTTTCCAATCTTTCGTCGAAAAAAAATTCAAATTTTTTGCGTTCTTCCGGATTTTTTCGAGTTTTCCACCTAGAATTTTCTATTTTTTCCATTCGAATGCCATTCCGAAGGAATTGCACACAAAATTCCATGCAGAAAAAAATCAATTTTCAATTTTTCCAATTTTCCGACTTTCCCGGAGGGGGCTACCTAGGTACCAAATTTTAAGCAAATCGGACCATAAATACGATTTTTTAGAATAGATCAGTCCCTGGTCCACTTCCCGAAAAAATGATCCAATATGCTAACATAGTCAAAAAGCTACCTACGTTCCAAATTTTAAGCAAATCGGACCATAACTACGATTTTTCGTATAGATCGGTCCCTGGTCCACTTCCCGGAAAAAAATATCCTATATGCTAATCTGCACAAAAACCCACCTACGCACCAAGTTTTAAGCAAATCCGACGATAAATATGATTTTTTCGAATATATCGGTCCTTCGTCCACTTCCCGGAAAAAAAGCATCCTATGTGCTAACCACGTACCAAATTTTAAGCAAATCGGACCATAACTACGATTTTTTCGAAAAGATCGGTCCCTGGTCCACTTCCCGGGGAAAAAAATATCCTATATGCTAATCTGGGCAAAAACCTACCTACACACCAAGTTTTAAGCAAATCGGACGATAAATACGTTTTTTCGAATAGATCGGTCCCTGGTCCACTTCCCGAAAAAAAGCATCCTCTGTGCTAACTTAGGCAAAAAGCTAACCACGTACCAAATTTTAAGTAAATCGGCCCATTAATAAGATTTTTTCGAATAGATCGGTCCCTGGCCCACTTCACGGAAAAAAGCGTCACATGTGCTAATCTAGGCAAAAAGCTAACTACGTACCAAATTTTAAGCAAATCGGACCATCACTACGATTTTTGAATAGATCGGTCCCCGGTCCACCGGAGGGTTTTTCCAAAATTTTCTTTCTTAAAAACCTTCTCCTGGCAATTACGAACAACTAAAAAAAAAATTTGCCAAATCGGCCCAACCGTTCTCAATTGATGAATTACTATACATTTTTCACACCATTTTTATATATATAGATACTTCCAGATAGTTGCCTCTCCATACTCAAATGCAATGTAGTTAAAATATATTAAGGAACCATCATAAAATTAGGACTATTTCTGGATTTTTAACTTTTTGATATTTTCTTCCCCAATTTTGACTATCTCAGGTGAAAAAAAATGTACTGAGCTATAACTTTACATTACATAAAAAAATTGCTCATTTAATAAAGACTAGTAATAACCCCCGAAAATCGAACATTTTTTGTTTTTTCTAAAAACAATAATTTATTCATGTAATACTTCTTGGAAAACTATATTTGCAGTACATTTCTTTTGGTCATTAATTTTAACTTTGATATCTTTGCAAGATCGTACTCTACTCGATGCCACGTACAGCTGGCCATGCGTAAAGCAATCCTCTTTCAGGAAAGCACCAACTTTTGCTAGAGTCTGACCTTGAGACTTATTTATTGTTATTGCGAACGAAACAAAAATTGGGAATTGGCGACGTTTTAAAACAAAAGGAAGTGGTGATTCGCTGGGCTGTAAATTTATACGGGGAAGTAAAATTCGTTTCCCTTGTGACGCACCTGTTAAAATTTCGACGTCCAAACAATTATAGTGTAGTGCTTTAACTATTACGCGAGTGCCATTAACTAACCCTTCATATGTATAAAGATTACGGATTAACATTACAACTTTTAGCCTTAATTCATGAGGTGCAACCCCGCTGAAATTAAGTGAATTTAAAAATTCTGTAGGGAATCTGACTTGCTCCAGTGGATCTTCAGAAACGATAGTATCGACGCTATAATAAACCTTTTCTTCTCCGGGCAACATATTAATCATTTCGGTATTAATTATCGTACAGTGCTCATTTTTTGGACACAAAATTGCCCGATCTTTCAAATGATTTTCATTAATTACACCTGATTGAGGTTCAAATACCCAATCGATTAAATTTCCATCTAGCAAAATAATCTCTTCTGGTAACTTTATTTTCGAGTCTGGCGAGAGTTCTCGACCTTCTCCAACACGCAAAAGAAAATTGCAATAATCGGACTCTTTAGAACGCATCTTTGTCGAGAGTTTAAAACACTTAAAACATTTCCAAAGTGAACACCGTTTCAAACAATTTCCAATTATAGCGGCGCATGCGCTATTGGGCACAACAGGAAGAACTTGCCTGAAGTCACCACCTAACAAAACAAATTTTCCTCCGAAAGGTGTTTCATTTTGGTGAATATCACGCAATAACCGATCTAAGCATAGTAAAGCAGTCCCAGGAACCATGCTAGCTTCGTCCCATATTATTGCCATGGAAGATTTGATTGCTTTTCCGAGATTGCTGTCAGGTTTAATAAGGGAAACAGAAGATTCAGTCTAGGGTATTGGGAATTTGAACACGTTATGTGCCGTTCTTCCACCAGGAAGTAAAATTGAAGCAATCCCTGTCCAAGCTACGGATATTACCTTCTGCCCAAGGCTACGAATATGGTGGATTATACTGGCCGGAGCCGCCAGGACCATCAATAAAGAAAGCCTTTATGACTTCATTGCTAGTGGAAATTGCAAGGATTATTTGGTCGAAAATATACTTTTGCTCGGGATTAAGCTGTTCCTTGAGTACTTGGCCGCATAGTACTTCATCGTGTATGTTAAAGTTCTCTATCTCTAAGTTTTCAGTGGCAAGATCATCTGCAGGTAAACCGAAGTCTTTCAAAGATGTGTTATACGATTGTAAGACATGGCTTATATTTCTCAATGCCAAAACCTCGCTGTTGTCTTCCGAATTATCCCTTAGAAAGTCTTCACAAAGATGGAGTTTAAATTTTCTCCAGAGCTCAATTGGTGAAGTTGGTTCCCCAAATACGCAAATCATTGCAAATATACGTCTAAGTTGCTCAGGTATTTTAAAGGCAGAGGCTTCTTCAAGTACAGCTATCCATTCCGTATCGTCCGCCAACAACTTTCTCCTTACTGCTGATTCCTAATAAGAGGACAGGTGTTCCCCGTTCACAGTCAATAAATCTGTAAAGGACTTTGGTCCTTTTAGCGAAGTTAACAATAAACGTAAAGCAAAAAGTTGACGATTTTTTGGATCGACCGTATACATCCTGCCAATTGCATTGCCCTGGCATTTCCTCCTTTGCCATGAGCGAGACGCTTCTTGCCAAGTATAGTATTCAGGAATTTCATAATACAACAAAGTATTAGCAAAAGAATCCACAGTATTTAATTTGAAATATGCGGTTAAGGTGGTATCGCGACATCGAGAAAGCGTTATTTTCACGAAAATAAATATTTTGTGCCTCTGGCAAGTGAACTGCAAGTGTTTTCACCGTGTGGGATTTTTCTTGCATGGGAAACTCTAAAAGCCTCCAGCAGGCTTCAGGAGCGCTAACATATCGATCATCTACAAATGTAGATATTTCATCATAAAAAACCGCACGATCAATTTGTTGTTCGATAATTTGAACGGTTGCGCAATCATAGCCTTTGTAAATATATTTGTGAAGATATTTTACGCTCTTTATAGATGAACATATTTCTACATTAATATGAGCATTGTATTTTTTGGTCAGATATTTGTTGTAGGGGACTACCCATCGGTTGTCTAATTCAACTGAATTTTGACTGACACGAACAACTATTTTATTTCCATCATTGCGGCGACGATATTGGGGATAGCCGTTTATATTTGAAAGCGTATTAATTTGAAAAGATTTGGGATACTTTTTTGAGCAAATTCCAGTATCAGCAGTCATGCAGGGCGATGATGGATTAAGTATGCCGCACGGGCCATGAATCATACATTTCGACACAATTTCATACAACTCAAGCTCTGTCTCCTTATTATGAATCTCAGCGCAAACAACCAGGTCAATTTCAGAAGGCTCACGAATAACATCCTCCTCATGAAGGGCTACCAATATGTGGGCATGAGGTAAACCCCTCTTCTGAAATTCAATGATATATAGGTAGTATTTTACTTTCCCAAACACATGCTTTTGTGAAATATCTTTCATAAGCTCTTTGAGTTTCTGTTTAAAAATACGGGCTATCAGCTCTGGACGCATTTCCGATCCTTGGTATATTTCTATATTTTGAACGACTTCTGGCCATTTGGGATTACATGTGAACGTTATGAAAAGAGACGGTTTTCCATGTTTTCTCACAATAGCCATGACATCTTGGTAATTCATGTTCATGTTGCGAGGGGAGCCAACAAAACTTGAAGGCAGAACAACTATACGGCCAGGACGCACATTTTCAATATTGGATCTACGTATTAAATAATCATGCAAACCAGCATATGTTTCAACACGTAGTTCTTTCTGATGGGTGCACAGAAAGGCCAGACGTGCTCCTTCAATTCTGACGTATTGGTCAACCAAATACTGTTGCCAAAGTTTACCTGAGACACGAAGCAAACTAAAACCTTCTCTAATCGCCATGCGATAAGAAACAAACTGCAGTTGTGTTAATTTAAATCTATGCTCCGTTCGTTGATCTTGTTCATGCAGGAGAGTTTCATCATATCCAGGCTCGCCATATGGAAACAAAAGGGGATAAACTAAAGGATCACATAATCTGTGTAGCGTTGACACAAATGATAAGTTCCGCATGTCAGAGTTACGCGGAAATATTCGCAAATTTCGACTTGCAGGTGGCTCACCATCTTCCGTTGTAAAAACCGCCGCAATTTCGGAGCAGTTTGGCAAGTTATAACGTCGGTCACTAACGCTGTTAAAAAGTAGCATGCTAACCTGATGCCGTCCTCGATTTTCTTCTCTTGCTCTCTGCTCTTCTTCACGTTCTACCTGCGCCATATGCTTATACTCACGGGCCAAGGGGTTAATGTTCGAAAGCATTTCATGAATTTCTTTCAGTAAAGACTTGTCGCAACTTGAGTTGTGTTGCGCCCTAATATCAATTGCTTGATCCGTGTCAAGAATATACAGCTGAGCGTAGGATGATTCGGCGGGATTATCTGCATGCAATGGACCCACCCTATGATATATGGATCCATGTATTCGGAAGCAATATGGTCCACGTCCTGTTGGCTCTGCAATTTTCGCTTCGAATGATGCAAAAGCAAACGAACTGTTTAGTTGCCGTATGTGCTCCAAGTAATGTCGGCGCCAAGAGCTCAAATCGTTTTCAAACACAGATTTTAAAAACTCAGGTACACGTAATGCTGGAAATTTGACTTTTCCAGCGTGACAACATGTCGCAAAGCCATTTCTTACCTAAATGTAGCAATTTCAAATACGTGTTAAGACTATAAGTTATGAAACAATAAAAGGTATAGACTTTCCTTTTCACTGCTGAAATGTTTTGCTTTGCACTGCAAGCATGTACTTGTTAAGCCCCCAAGTGAACTATATTCCGGAAGAACTACAGGGTTTAAGGCTGCTTTGAAAGAACTTGCCATAGAAGATACGTGTCTGCGGCTCTGCATGAGAACGTGAATATACATACATACATACAAACATATATGTATGTACACAAATACATTAGCCCTAAAGTTCAATTTTTTTAAATAAAAGTCACCTCTTCTCTTCGACTTGTTAAACTTCGCTTTCGCCTTATACACCTTTCACCTGACATTTTATAAACGTTTATTGTATCTTTTATGGTTTAGTATATCAAAATTTCTAAAATTGCTTGTTGCAAATAGCACGAACAGAACAAAACAAATATTGTTGCCGATAGTTTTCGCATTTTTGCCTTGACACATATGTACATACATACATACCAGAGCTCGCAACTAACTGTAACGTAAAGTACTTATGTATGTTTGTGCCCATTTGCAGTTTTAGAGCCACTGTTATTCCTATCGTTGGAATTTCTTTACTACCTTTCAATCAAAACTTATAGAAAAGGGAGAAAGACATGTATATGTTTGTAATATAGATCCATATTTCTCGTTAGAAAAAAAACGTTAAAAGAAACCATGAAAAATGCACATATGGGTGTATGTACAAAGCCAAAAGCATCATCTTTTTTTCAGATCTTCGGCTGTATCGCTGCCTACATGCATATGAACGTAGCAATGCTTTGCTCGACATGAAACAAAAACAGAGACGAAAGCGAATAAATGGAAAAATTTTTCATTCTATGTCCCGCTGTAGCGCTGCGTATATGAACACGAACGAAGCAATATTGTTGTTGATAGTTTGGCACTTGTGCCTTAACAAATGTGTATGAATGAATGTATGTATATGCAACAATTTTGTGTATGTACAGAGACGAAGGGAACATTATCTTTGCAGATCTTCCGCTGCATCGCTGCCTACATGCACACGAACGTAGCAATGCTTTGATCGATATGAAACAAAAGCAGAGACGAAAGCGAATAAATGGAACAATTTTCCTTCCTCATATGTCCCGCTGAGGCGCTGCCTCTCGAAATGAACGTAGCAATGCTTTGCTCAATGTAAAAATTTTAAAATCTTTCGACGCAAATATTTCGAAAATGGTTCAATGAATCTTAAATCTGAAAAGTTTGTGCAAAGTTTCAGATCGGGCACTTTAATTTGATATATAATATGTCTCTGTACGATTTGTAGATCGCTGGGAATAAGCGCCTTGTTTCAGAATAATATATAGATTTCAGAAAGGTGCCACACTTACTGTTTTGAATAGAAAAAAAAAGCTATAGCCGCTTTTGTGGGTAAAGGACTAAGACACGCTAGAATGTATTTAATAGATTTAAATTGAATTTGCTCTTGTTACCGTCAAATGACATGCTAAATAGTACAAAGGTACATTATTACCTGCTCCTGACATTATTTTGTGTTACTTACCGGAATTAGTGAAAGTGGATTTTGTGAAATTGGACCCTTCGAACATTGTGTTATTAATACTATGGCAGAGAACACGCAGTATACGTCGCATGAATATGCGGATATTCACCTAATTTACGGTGAAGCTTGCTGTAATGCCAGAGCTGCTCAAAGACTCGTCGACATCCGGGTCGTGAAGTATTCGCCCGGACCCATAGAGAAATATATGAAGGTAAGTGATTTTTACACCTTTCTTGTTTGCTTGCTTGTTAACTATAATTTTTTACTTTTTTAAGGTCGCATACCTGGAAGGCGTGGCGGCGAAACAGGACGTCCTGCAACGGTAGATGTTGAAGCTGTGTTAGAGGAAGTGGAACTAGGTCCATCGACTTCAGTGTGAATGATGGAAAGACGGACGGGAATACCAAAAACTACAGTTCATAAAGCTTTAAAAGACCATCGATTTCATCCCTACCACACTCAAGGTGTTCAGGCTCTACAGGAAAGAGATTACCTGTCGAGGGTTAGATTTTGCCGTGAAATGTTGCGAATGCATGCATCAGACCCCAACTTTTTTAATAAAATAATTTGGAGCGATGAATCATCATGCAAACGTGATGGTTATTTTAAGTTACATAACCTTCACAGTTGGCAGATAGACAATCCTCACTAAATGAGAGAAGATCGTTCGCAGTACCGGTACAAAATAAATTTATGGTGCGGTATTTTTAATTGTCAGATATTGGGACCTGTGGAACTGCCGCCAACGCTCAACTCTCACAGTTATTTAGAGTTCCTACAGGAACGGCTTCCAACTCTTTTGGAAGATGTACCCTTAAACCTGCGGCGAAGACTATGGCTGCAAAATGACGGGTGCCCTGCTCACTACGGGCGTGAAGTAAGGGCTCATTTAGACGAAACTTATCCTCGCCGATGGATTGGACGATACGGGCCAATCACGTGGCCCGCTTGATCGCCAGACCTGAATCCATTAGATTTTTTCTACTGGGGCTGTCTTAAGGACAAAATTTATTCAAAAACAATTCGAAACGAAGAGCATTTGCGGGAACAAATAAATGGAGCTGCTGCTGAGATAGTCCAATTGAGTTTAAAATCTCTAAAAGCGTCTTTTCTTAAAAGGTGCCGAGCTTGTATTAGAGTAGAAGATCACCAATTTGAGCATATTTTATCAATAAATGAATACATTTTTCTTCAAACAACTCATGTATATCTTATTTCACGTGAACCCATCCTTCACACAAAATATTGATAGATATAGCCCTTGTTATAGACTCTAGTCCGAATTCCGGTAAGTAACATAAAATAATGTCAGAAGCAAGTAATTATGTACGTTTGTACTATTTAGCATGTCATTTGACGGTAACAAGAGCAAATTCAATTTAAATCTATTAAATACATTCTAGCGTGTCTCAGTCCTTTACCCACAAAAGCGGCTATAACTTGTTTTTTTCTATTCAAAACAGTAAGTGTGGCGCCTTTCTGAAATCTTTATTAAATGAGCAATTTTTTTATGTAATGTAAAGTTATAGCTCTGTACATTTTTTTTCACCCGAGATAGTCAAAGTTGGGGAAGAAAATATCAAAAAGTTAAAAATCCAGAAATAGCCCTAATGTTATGATGGTTCCTTAATATATTTTAACTACATTGCATTTGAGTATGGAGAGGCAACTATCTGGAAGTATCTATATATATAAAAATGGTGTGAAAAATGTATAGTAATTCATCAATTGAGAACGGTTGGGTACTGCTGTACACTCTAAAAAGTGCGTGTAAAACTACTACTGAAAAGTGTTTATTTTTCAACCAGAATCTGTTCAACTATACGCACAAGATGTTCAAGATTTGATTTTGAACATGAGTTGTTTAAAATATACACATAAATATACACATGAAATGTTTAAAATTACAAACATTTTGAAAGTAAAAACATATTTTTTACAAATAATAAATACTAAGTGCCAGGGGTGCACCCAGGAATACATATATTTTTGGGGGAAAGGGTTTATACTTCTAAATATATGTCATCAGAAAATACTGAAAATTCGCTCTTTAAAATACATTTATGCAAGTTTTATGTACAGTATGAAATAAATAAATCACTTTTTAAAGTTTCATAAATTACATTTTATTTACATAAAATTTACAACGAAATCAAACATTTTCATCCAGCTTCAAAAAAGGGGAGGTTATCAATTATTCGGAGTATTTTTTCTTCTTTTATGTATTCCACCGCATAACTTTGGACCGACGAACCGATTCCAATAATTCTTTTTTTTTACCGGAAAGATGGTACCTTAAGGGTCGTCCCGTAATTTGGTTTAGATCCGATCATTGGATCATGAAAAAATTAACGGTACTCCTAAATTTGTATATGAGAATTGAATTTGGTTTTTCTTTTTGCTTAAAAATTACTTGTTTAATAAAAAGTTCTACAAACACAAGATGCACTCAGCTTTCAAAAGTAATACAAAATTTTACAAAAGAATATTAATATAAATAAATTACGTAATTCAATGAAAGTTTTACACTTTTATATTCATTTTCGTCGATTTCTGGTTTATCACTTTTTTTAATACTTCGAATCGAATAACGAAAATTTAACTGAACTTGTATTTTTATCATGTAGCTCATTTTGGTGGAACGAATTTCAAGTTAGCAAATTAAATATTCGAATGCTTTTAAGTACATATCAGTGGTAAACTTTTTTAGGCTGTAAAGTGTAAAAAGCAACAGTAGGTGAGTATGCATTGCATATTTTTAGGACAATGTTTTCATTCGTAGTTAAACTTTTAAGAGCTCTCAAGAAAAAAGAAAAATTCTTACAAAATGACACACAAGAAATGGAAAAGAAATTTTCTTCTATCAAAATTTCTTAAATCATAATATATTTAACCCCAAAACCTACCCCTTGTGTGCGCTACGTGACAAATTTGGTATGTAAAAGTAAACAGACAGTGTTTAATCTTGCACACACTAGGAGAGGAAACTGGTTACCTCTCTTTATATGCGTAAATTTAAACGAACATTTTTTAGAAGAAATTTTAAACATTTTATGTGTAAA